CAGCCTCCCACCTCCACAGTGGCGCAGTTGAGGAGTGATCCCAGAACCACAGAACGAGGGGGGGGCTTGTTCTCCAAAATGAAAAGGGCTTAAGTGGGAAGAAGGTGGGCTCTTCACTTAGTGCCATAGCCCCCCAAGAATAACTCTACCCAGGAAGCGGGGGGAGACCCCACAACAGTCTCCATGCTGAAAACGTCCTTGCGGGGGGTGAAGGTTGTTGAGAGGCTCCCTAGAACTGCGTGGCAGATGCCTTAGGCCCTTCGGGTAGGATGGGGCCCTTGAGGCCATCCAGCCCAGCCTCCTGCTCAGGGCATGGATCCCAGTTAAAGCCCCCCGGCAGACGGTCTCCCATCCAAGAGGCAAAGGCCTGCCTCGCAGAAAGCCGTCGGAAGGCGCTGGCAGACCGGCCGGTTCGCAGAGGAACTGCACTGGGCCAAGCAGGGCGTCGTCATGGTTAAGCGGGCTGTGGAACCCAGCAGTAGCTGTGGCACGCTTTGCAAGCCCCAGGGTGGTCTGTTGATTTGATCTGTTTGTGCTTTGCTCCACACCAGAATTACTTTTTGCTAGCGCAGGTTTAGGGTTACAGGTGTTAGCTGACAGAGCCTTGTGGTCGCCGGCCCCTCTATTGATTCATGCGGAGAAATTCACGCACGGGGTGGGAGAGCCCCTGGCCTGAGGCTTGGGTGCTGCTGGATCGCCGGCGCGGTCTCAGGCTGGCATGCTCCGTCCAGTGCATCAGGGTCATTGACTCCTCCTATGGCGAGGCCCGAGCCCTGGCGGACGACGTGGACTTCTCTTGCTTCCGGTTCACCAGTTTTGGCAAAGGGCTCATCAAGAAATGCCGGACCAGCCCCGACAGCTTCATCCAGATCGCTTTGCAGCTGGCGCACTTCCGGGTAAGCCGCCCCCCCTTCCCCGCCCCCTCCCAGAGCCCTGGGCCAGGGGCCCAGGATGGCATTTCTGCCAGGCTGCAAAGGACAGGTACGCAGGAGCCGTGGTTGGCCTGAGGTTTTGTATCCCCCCAGGGGTCAGGAGGGCTGCCTCATGCGACCCCTCCTTGCCCTCTCCCCCTGCAGGACAGGGGCCACTTCTGCCTCACCTACGAGGCCTCCATGACGCGGCTGTTCCGGGAGGGCCGGACAGAGACTGTGCGCTCCTGCACCCAGGAGGCGATTGCCTTTGTGCGCAGCGTGGCCGACCCCAACAGCAGCGTGAGTCCCCCGATGGTTCGGCCCTACCCCATCCTGCGCCCTCGGCACCCCTCCCACCGCCTTTCAGACCGGCACTCGGCATCTCGGAAGTCCAGAGCCGGCTGGGTGGCTGCAGATCGGCACCTTCCGCCCAGCCCAGGAGGAGGGGCAGTGCTTTCGCCGAAGGGTGGGGTGAAGGCCGCGATCTCGGGGGGCTTGGTGCCTCCAGCGGGATGCTGGAGACCAGATCACGGCCCGGGGGTTGCCCAGCTTTTCTGCAGCGGGAATCCATCGAGGGCGCAGGGGACTGAGATCCGGGGCGCTTTGGATCCGGCTCCCTGCTCTCCCCTAGCCCAGAGCCGCATGGCGCCTTCTCCAACCTGCACGAGAGGAGAACAGGCGGGCAGAGCGAGTGGGGGCCTTTTGTTATCATCGTGGAATTAGGCTTAGCTTACAGGTGAAACCACGTCGGCTTTTTTCCACGCGAGCCTCGCCTTAAGAGGACTAATTCTTGGGCTTGAGGGGGGTGTGGAAATGGCACCCAGGTCAGGTCCTTCAGAACACGGGGAGTCCAGGCCAGCGCAGCGGCTTCATAACTCGGTGGAAGAGAGGGGAGAACTTGCAGGGGGATCAGATCATGGCAGGGTTGGGGGCTGAGGAAGGTCACTCAGCGTGAGACTCAGCTGAGCCCCAGCACAGGACACGCCTCAAACTGCCTGCCCCCTAGAAAACCCAAGCTGCTGGGCAAGCCGGGCCTCACCTCCTGCCTCCCCCGTAGCCCTCGGAGCGCCTGCAGCTGTTCCGGGCGGCTGCCGAGAAGCACCAGCAGATGTACCGCCTGGCCATGACAGGGGCGGGCATCGACCGGCATCTCTTCTGCCTCTACGTGATGTCCCGCTACCTCGGCGTGAGCTCCCCCTTTCTGGACAAGGTGAGGGGCCCTGGCCGTCGAGCTGTTTCTTCTGGCTGGTTGTGGCTGTGAGTCACTGGGCCCCAGGGGGGCTTCTGTGACCCACTGCCCTGGAAAGAAGGAGGGGCGCAAGCGCCCTGGCCACCCCCATGGCCCCTTCTGGCTCTCCCAGCAAGGTCCGCAGCGGGCGGTCGGGAACAGCAGCAGGCGGGGCAGTGGGCCCCAGAGGGAAGGGATCAAGCCCCCCAGGTTTCAGTGGAATTCCCCTGGCCTGGCCCATAGGGAGCTCCTGCAGGGAAGCCGTTCTGTGTGGGGGCCTCCAGAAGGGCCGGGCAGCGACAGCCATCCTGCCCAGACGGGCCACGAAGGGGGCTGCACGCCAGCTCCTCTGGGCCTCCGGCAGAGCAGTGCCGCCTTCTTGGGAAGCTGGCCTGGAGCACGGGAGCTTTTGGGAAGGACTCGCCTGCCCTGCCCTGCCCTGCTCCGTGCAGCGAGGGCCCTCCCCAGAGCGCTGTGGGAGGGCTGCCCTGCGGGGCTGCGGGCCAGCAGAAGCCTGTCCAAGCTTGGCAGGGGAAGAGAAACTGGGCTTGCTGGCCCTCACCCCTCCGCCCTCCCCAGGTGCTGTCCGATCCGTGGCGCCTCTCCACCAGCCAGACTCCGCAGCAGCAGATCAAGATGTTCAACCTGGACTCCTACCCGGATTACGTCTCCGCCGGCGGAGGCTTTGGGCCTGTGAGTATGGCCTGCAGGGTCAGAGAGACGGACCTGCGGACGTCCTCGGGTCCTCTTGCAGGAGTGGGGAGGGAGGGAGGGAAGGAGGCCGACACCGAGGCTGCCAGGGACGTGCTTCAAACTCAATGCCTGACCCACGTCACTGGCAGCAGGGCAAAAGGAGTTTGCAGGGCCTGCCCTCAAAAGACTTTTCCCACTGCCCAGCCCCATCCAAGACCTGAGGGCCTGACCCGGCTCTGCTTTGGGGATGAGCCAAAATCAGCCCAGCGCTGCCATCTTCTGGTGGCACGGGACCTCCAGGAAAGCGCCTGTGCCCAGTGAGGCCGCTCCGTGTGCTGTTAAGCCCCTGCCCTCCATACCCCCGCCTCACCACCGATGCGCAGGGGAGGCTGCCTTGGAAGATGCGGCCTCCTTCAGCGGGGCGCGAAAGCCCTGCTCCTTCAGGGCACCTCCAACGCTCGCCACAGGCGGTGGGACCTCCAGCTGAGTGGCCAGGGAGGGGCCGCCATCCCTGGCAGATTTCGACCGATCTGCCCTCCCCCGCCCGCTTTTCTTCCTTGCCTAAAAGCCACCCGGCCATCTGGCAGTAACTTTCGGGCAGCGCTTCCTGGACGCTGCCTGTTCTGCCTATGCTCAGTGCACAGACCAAGAAGTGTAACCCGACAGGCCGGCTTCTTCCGGCACCAAGCCGCAAAAGCCGACCAGACTGTAACGCGAGCCAAGCTTCACGTGCAAACACATTCCGGGGTTTTGTCCATGACGGGGGCGGGCATCGACCAGCATCTCTTCTGCCTCTACGTGATGTCCCGCTACCTCGGCATGAACTCCCCCTTTCTAGACAAGGTGAGGGGCCCTGGCCGTCGAGCTGTTTCTTTAGCTTCCGGGGTTTTGTCCCGGAGCTGGCGAAGCATCTTGCCAGCTCAGGCGCCGGTTCTCCGCAGAGCACCGGGCAGGAGTGTCCGCAGGGCGTGGTCCCAGAAGCTGAGAGGGCAGCCGTGGGGGTTCCGCCTTGACTTTTTCCCACGCTCTGCCAACACTCCCGCCCCGGAGAAAGGCGCTCGGGCGGCAGGTGAAGAAGAGCTGGCCCTGTTGGCCTGGGATTGTGGATGCCAGCCTGGGTGGTGGAGGCTCGTTGGATCCCCCCTTGTTTTGGGGAGAGCAGAAGAGTTAGGCCCGAGGGGTCATGGGCAGCGGGGCTGGGAGTATCCCCAGAGAGGAGAGGTGGGAAGGGGGCTGGAGGCGGCCGCAGCAACTGTCTCTTACTGCGTGACGCGCTTTGCAGCAGAACCCTGGGAAGGACGGAGGCCTGCCCGGCATCCGATTCCCAGAGAGGCTGGGCAGGGGCCTCGGGGACTAAGCCCAGAATCAGGACTCTGCCAGGCGAGCAGGGCGTCCTCGGGAGCGTCCTTGCCTTGTGCTCACGGGCCTGGAGGCTGGCTCCTCGGATCTTAGCGCGGCCTCTCGGTGTCCATACCTCCCTGCAGGTGGCTGATGACGGCTACGGGGTCTCCTATATCATTGTGGGCGAGAACCTGATCATGTTTCACATTTCCAGCAAGTTCTCCAGCCCTGAGACGGTGAGTGTGCCCGAGGAAGGAGCTGCAGTGGTGGAGGGCTGGGGGGGAGGAGGCAGCGTGCCAATGCCCATCTCTTTGGAAGAAGCGCCCCGGGAGGCCCTTGGCTAGGGGAGCCCCCCTTCCCAAACCTGCATCCCCCAAACGCTGCCCCTTCTGCCTTGGGGCCTGCTCAGCCACTGCGGCTTTGCGTACCACTTCCCCCAAGCTTTGGGTTTTTTTCTTTCTGGCCCTTTGCCTGTTTCTAAGAAGATGGGCCAAGGGCTCATGAAGAAGGTGGGGGGCTTCAGGCCAGGCACGCTGAATCACGGCTCCTGTGCTGCTCCAGGGGTGCCAGGGCAGGAGCTTGCCAGGCCCCAGGTTCTGGCTCCTCATCCATCCCCGTGAAGGAAGGAAGAGCAGATGAGGAGGAAGAGGAGACTGCGCTCTGGGCACGGGAAGCACCCCATGGAGGGCGGTGTCATCTGTCAAGCCCTGGGGAGGGGGCTGGTACCCGGCTGCTGCCCTCTGCCCGGCCCTTCCTGGGCAGAGAACACAAAGCTGTGGCCAGTGTGAAAGACCAAGTTGCTACTAGCCCGGGCGGTGGGTGCCTGGGGGACAGCAGGCGGGCCCCCTTTTCTTCCCCCAGGAGCCAATCGCGTCCCTCTGGCTCAGCACCTGCATGCGCCCAGGTCAGCCGCAGCGGGGAGAGTCCCTGGGAAGTCC